AGAGGCTTGGACGATGAGTTAGAGGTTTCCAAAGGAAAAGTTTTTTAATTATTTTTTCGGTCATTGATAACGGCAACAATATGAGATATACATACATATGTACACTCACGAAATTCAATGAATAAAGCGGCAGTCGCTGCGCAGTAAGTCTTATCGTTCGTATGGATGAAATCACTACAGTCTTGAAACCATTCAGTGCTATATCCTCTGATATAAGCAGAGGAAAATCTTTAAAATGCTGAGGGGTCAAGTGAAGAGCAAGGCCGCCTACACCAATTGAAAAGGAGAACCCAACTCAAATTTTTATAGAAGGTAATGTGGAGTCCCAGTGCATATTATTTCGCTAGATTTGCTAAGCAAGATTTTGACTTCAATTGCTGTGTTGCAGTATATTGATAAACTTCCATCTAACGAAGGTAATTACAGTTTTTTTTGTTTTTCTACACATCTGATTTCGGGTTTCGGATATTCCAGCTAATGCTACGAGCTGATTCTTCTTCGGACGGACATCTTCCAAGTCTTCCACAAATGATGGCCCCTTCGACTCGTCGCCAATTATTTCAGCATTCCATATTATTTTTAAATCAAGTATTTATCGGGACAAAATTCCTCTTAAAAGGTTGCAATTTCATTCTAAGATGTCTGAGCATTTCATTCCTCGTCTTCTAGAGTTTCATCCCTTTAGTTTATGTCCAGATCGACTTGTTAAATAAACCTAGGCAATATGATACGGACGAGCCTCCAGGTGATTTTGCCTTTCTGTCGAGCTTGTGTGAGCCACATTCGTATGAGAAGCCGTTCCACTTGGATCACTATACCCCCAGATTCATTTGGGATGTCGCATTTGGAGCCAAAAAATATCATTATTCTACACAATTCAGTCTATTCACTAAATGGCAAACTATAAATTTGATTCAAACAAAAAGCCAACACACACTAAAAATATCGCAACAAAGTTATTAAGCAAAAAACCGTAAAAAAGATACAAAAAAATCACACAACGACGTGCGCACCGAAGTGTAACTGTCAAAAAATCACAAAATTTCGTGTAAACCAAACGAAAAAACGGCAAAAAACGAACGCGCAACGAGTGTTAAAAATTGCGATTTCCCGCTGGGCCAAAGGCAGCACAACAACAGCGCTCCGCTGTTACGCCCAGCCGCCATTAAAACGCGTGTAACGCAGTTTTGACAGTTTGTTATCCATTCAAAGTTGTGCGAACGAATTTCGTAAATATTTTAAAGGATAGCGTGTGGGTTTTTCTCTTTTTTCACAGACATTTTTTAACGTGTTTGTGGCGAGTAAAAATAAGCAAACAGATTCACCGTTGCGCTGCTGCAGTTGTGTCCTGAGGCATCCAACACCTGTTTGTTAAACGCAAACGAATACGCATACATACGTACGAGGGTTGCCTTTCATATTTCGGGATTAGAGAACAAAAACAAATTATCGCAAATCGCTGTATTGGTTTTCAAAATATTCTCTATTAATTTGCGTACTCGTTCGCATGCTTTTGAAGCAATTGTTGAAGCACAGCCGCCTCTCAGTCAGTTCTTTACGTACGGGAATAAGAGAAAGTCATTCGTTGTCAAACCAGGACTCAGAACTCGGTGGCTGACTCATCGAATCAATGTCTTGAGTGCTCAAAAATGCAGTTGTTTTAGTCAATGTCCGAGAGCTCGGTTCGTTTTCCTCATTTTTTGAAAGCCAACCGGCAAACAAATAATTGTATATCACACAGAATTTACTATTCTACGTTGCTCTAATGACCCGATGGCGACATGTCCGGTTTTTTAGAAAATTCAAGTAACCATTTGCTTGGAAGTGCTTCGTGCGCGTTTAACTTTTATCGGAATCCGCACATCTTTAAACATCCATACGCTCGACTGCTATAAGCTTTCGGGCTCATTTGCATAAATCCTCGATTCATGATGATTCACCACAATTCACCACGATTCACCACCATTACATTCTTTAGTTTTTCTTCCGGCAATCGGCCCAAGCCTTTTTCTGAGCGATTGACAAATTGTTTCGGATCCGTTAAAGTCCATTTCATACAGCAGCATAGCTTCACATAGTCGATTCGGTACTCGAACAACAAAGAGTGGACGGCGATTTTTCGAACAAAATTTTCTTCAGCGACGAGGCACTCTGGTGAAACGTATGTAAGTAACCAAAATTGTCAAATTTGGAACTCCGCTAGTCCTCAAATAATTGCGGTCTTTGTGGTCGATACCCTATAATAAAGAAGGTTGACGAAAGGAAAAAAATATTTTAAACACACGTAAGTAAAGTTTATTTCCGAAATCACAAAATCTATGATCCTGTGTAACATCAAAAAGGTGAAACTTTACGATACAGTTGTCAGTTGCCAGATTACCACACTAAAATTGCCTAATCCCCAAATATGAAGTCAACCCTCGTACCTGCATACATACATACGTGTATGTAAATGTGCAGGAAAAAAATTCGAAATTCTCGCGTCAACTTGTATTTTTGTACAGTCTTGTCTCCAAGGATAACGCGTTCGGTGTACATCGCTTTACCAGGCAACCTGTCGCAACGGACGCAAGTGGACATCGAGCGCACTCAAAGCGAAATACACAAATTTCACTTCTGTGTTTTTGTTGTAATGTGACAAGATAAACATTTATTTCATTTTTATCGAAATTTAGAATAAATTGATGGCGCAGTTTAAATGTACCGTTGCTATTCCTTCTATGAATACAACTAAAAAAAAACGGTTAAACAAGATAACTGTGAAATGTTTTAGCAAAAAAAAAAAAAAACAATGTACAATTTCAAAAAATATGCTGTCAACTGCTGTAACGTAACCATTTTTTTATTTTTTTTTTCTATTAAAAAATTCACTGTTAATTTGCGGTTGCGTCATTTAAGCCAAATTATCGGTTTTCAAAATACAATAAACGGTTTTCGAAGTGCGTGAGCGTTCGCTTTGCATGTGAGTTCGTGCTGCATTTTCTTGCGGTTTTCCATTTACATTTAAATAACGGTAATACTTTTCTCACGTCGATGGAATTTAAATTGTTTATTTACGCATTTCCCTTTTGCTACGCACATTGGCGCTGGAAAAAAGGAGGCGTTTTTATGTTATTTCTTGTACATCCTTCATTTGCCTTTTCTCCTGTTTTTTCTCACTTTTTTCGTGAAGTTTCAACGCTCAAAAAGAAATGCGGTTTTCGCTGACATTTCACAAAGCATTGGGAGTCCAAGTTATTTTGGTCCGATTTTTGTGTTGAAAAAATTGACTTTTGTCCAAAAAGAGTCCGTGGGAAGCGATAATATTTTCCCCAACTCACTGCTATTTTTCGAATATCTTCTCTAAAAAATTAGTCCTCTCTGCCCTCGTTGCAAGCATTGAGCCATTTTTCGGTTTCTTCAAAATAATCGAAAGGAGCTGGGTCTAGTGAATACGGCGAGTGGGGTAAGACCTCCCATTTCAGCGTTTCTTGTTTGCTTACCGCCTGATTTGGCCGGGACGCTCTTTGTCTTCGATAATAAACAGAAACAGACGCTGATGCAAACTAAAATTCAAAGATCGAAAATAATATGTAAAGGAATTTATTTATTCTATTATTTCCCTTCAATGAAGAAAGGATGAGGATAAGTTTTAACTAACCTGGCTACCATTCGTCAATAGCTGGCAAGTATTTAAATTCAAACAAATTTTGATGAGCTTTTTATAAATTTTTTGAGTGACATCAGTCGCTTGAATTTTCTAAAAGATTGCCGTAGCTGAGGGCCGTAAGCTAGAATAATCATCTGATGGTCTAATCGGGGTTGGGTCGCAGAAAGGGTGACAGCCCTTGGCAGATTAAAATCTTTAATAAACTTCGGTGCGTAAAAACGCGTGGTGATAAACTCTTCTGCAGCGGCGAGATAATTGAGCAGACTTCCTGACAAAGGTTTTCAATTTGTCTTTGATCATCCTAATAGTACTCGATATGTTAAAAACGGATGATCCCAATTTTTAAACCGGTTAGAATCTTACCGGCCGATATCTCCACTTTCCCCAGTAGTGAAAAAATGAGGCCTTGCTGCTCCCGATGAATGCATAGCCTTACTACCTTTACCAAAACCAGCCCTGCGCGCGAACTGTCGTGGTAACACTGAGTCTGTTAAAAGACCATCAACCACTCAGTGCTACTTTCGGTCATTGAGGAGCCCTCTTTATCGACTAGGTTAAAGATATGGGCTGTGATCTACCTGAGTGGTAGACACTCATGGATAGAGTCTCAAGGTCCACATGGGGTTCCGTAGGGTAATGTCCCTCGATCCAGACTTGATCTCGACTTCCCATCTAACCGCCTTTCCCTCTAGTCCTGTATCACCCCTTAGATGGTCTCTATAACTTCGACTTGGTGAGCCGCCACAACAACAACAATAGTTTCAATCCAACCGGTAAAATTAATGAAGAAAAGTTTTCCAAATGCGGTCCTTTGGCAGGGAATTTGAACCCCTCTGAATGTATTTCAAACACAAAATAACTGGCTCCACATGAAAATGAAGCACCGAAGAAAAGTCAACTCCTGAGTGCAGGAACTCCTCGTACAAAAAATTTGTATATCCATTGAGCTATAATAAAAATCTATTAAGACATGCTTACTAAATGCAAAATGAGTAGGGAAGGCCACCACCACCGAGGTAGGGCAGTTCCCATTCCACATTTTGTAAAAAATAATTAAAATCTTGCTTATAAGTAGAAACCAGAGCTTTAGCTTCTAATTTGCGTCCTAGATATGAAGGTAAGGTTAATGTCTTTGTTAACTTTAAGGGAGACATCTAGGGACTGATTAATAATGGCTTGGCAGCGACATCTAGCTTTGAATTCTAATTAAAATTTACTACAAAAAGAATAGAAGAAAAATTAAAATTTTGAAATTAAAATAAATAAAGTACAATTTTTAAATAACATAAAAAAATATTTTTTAATATTATTATTTGCTATACTGCTAACGTGTATTATTGTAAGTTTTATTTAAGTTTTCATGAATATTTGTGCGTTGCCCATAGAAACCTAGAGAGTCAGGTTGAATAACAAAACAATCACCAAATTTTGTCGACTTCGGACAGGTGTATTAATTATTATAAATACATATTTAAGTATTACAAAATAATTAGTTTAACAATGAAGTTCATACCGTTGCACACAAAAAATACGGCTATAATCTATAAAAACTCGTTATGTTCTTCCGCGAGCATCATCGTACTAATTTTCATAATTTTATCCGTCATGATACCCATGTTACTGGTGTCGCTGCTCAGTCCATATTCGGGCATTTCAGAGTCACGTATACTTTTCGAACAACCACGTTTACAATTTAAGTTCCAAAGCATTTTCATTGCTGAAACGGAAGCGCAATATAATGCCAGTGCTCACCCACAAGCTAATCGAAAGCCCGTTAATTTGGTTGTATGCAGCACATTTCCTGGGCTAAATACAGCGGCAATAGAACATAGCAGAAATTGCGAAGGCATTAAAGTAAGTACTGCTCTTTTGTGTAATATTTTGCCATTTTAAACCTTCCGTCATACTCTTTTCCAGTACTGGACTGATGATTTTGATTATGATGGCACAATAGATCGCGCACATTTTCAACAGCAACTTGATACACTTCCCGGCCGTATGAGAAGTTTCGATTTGGCAGTATTTTTCGAAGCAAAACTAAAGGTAGCATAAAAAAATAATTAAGCAGAGAATTCATCAAATTTATTCCAAACCGCATTTAATTCTATTTTTAGCACAAGTGTCCACTCTCCCCGCCTGCGCTCCTTACATATCACAATATTATACCATCAGCAGCGCAGTTTAGCTCGGGCACAATATTACTCAAAGCTGAACTAAAACTCAAGCAATACATTGAATTTACTTGTCCTTTTCCTGGACGTAATGTAAAGACGCAATTTCGTCAAGTGGAACTCCATTCCAATACTAGTCATTTTAACTTACACGATTACCAAATTTCATCTTTACTTGAGCAATTTAAAGCGAATCCCGCATATTTTCAACTCTCTGAAGAAGAAATATATTATCGAAGAGAACCGGGAAGCAGTTTACGTATACAATTGGACTTGGATGTGCTACAAGTTCCTGCTCGCTATCATCTGAGTGTCTGGGAGCGTTTGGGTCAATTCTGGTTATATTTCGCTTCGTTCTTTGGTATTTCTTTTTACATAATGAACAAGCTTAAGGATTATCTCTTCGGACAGCACATCATACGAGCCTGGGAAGTGATACCTTGGAAAAAACTATACTGACATCAAACTAATCGCTTAGAACAAGACTATATTGATATGGATGAGTTCTCGACTTCTGTTATGTATTGAGAAAATATATTATATATTGAATACGTAGCTACTAAATTAAATACACTAATAACGCTTTTTATGAAAAAAAATTAATAAATAAATCCATTACACATATGAAGAATTGTTAATGTTATAAAACTTTATATAATTGCAGCAATATTACTTTCATCCTATTTTATACAAAAACGATCTACGTTTGCACAGATTAAAATCTGTTTGTTCTCTTTTCGTCTTTCTTTCCAAGCTTTGTGTGTTCACGCTTGATGAAGTTATTTTTACAAGTTCTTCGTATTTGCGCCATCATTTCTTTTCAAATGAGGTAAAATCTAGACTTCCAGCTTCCAGAGGAGTATTGAGTTTCTGAGGGTTTGGATCATAGGCGCGATTATCTTCAATAATAATAGTTGTGTGGGGATAATAATCAAGTTGCACGAATAAGTATCGATATTCCATTTTTCCTGATGACGCCTATAGTAATAAGTGTAAAATATTACAACGTCCAAGGATAACAATTAAACCTATTTAAATACCTGACGTGACTCCAAATGAACCGTGCCTCTATTTCGTATACCTTGAACATAAAACTGCATGCGAACATGTAATACGCCATTTCGCTCGAATGTCGAATGTGCAACACGTTGACGGCGTCCACGACGCGATTCCTCACCATATCCTTTAATTGGAGCGCCCAAAGCATCTTGTATCCTTGGATCCTTTATTTTCGAAAATAAAAACTTTCGCAAACAATTTAGATTCTATGCTGTTTGGTCACCCACCTCTTTCACGAGCTCCAAGGCGTCTGAGTAAATATTATTCGGACTGCAGCTAGAAAATAATTCTCGGAATATTGCGTAAAACATTATGCCGGTCACCCCAATACCGGCGAGTATTATTGCTGTGTAGCTGGCAGTTTTTGTGTTCTCTTTAATCTTTTCGCCGAGCGGTCTTACATCTGTTGATACATCTGTCCGACCACTGGACTCCTGTAGAGAACGAGTGTTGTTTGGGTCCTCTTTGCTCATTTGATGAAGCGGCGTCGTAGTGCTTACAATCATACGACACCACTGATTTTTTAATGTTGTTGCTAAATATGACTTTCTATTCACAAAGTGACGTAAAATAATAAATTGCGACATTTTACTATATATTAAGTCAAAAAATTTACTATTTATTATTTAAGGAAGTTTCTAACCTTCCCAATGTTTACAAAGAAAGGAAACAATCAGCTGACGTTTCGCTAGATGCGGTATTCACAAGGCGCAAGGTTATCATAACTTACAAATTGTTATGTTAAAATGTTAACAAGCTGCGGATATCCAACAATAATAACAACTTGTACAATTTTTGACTATCGCAAGCCCAAAGCTTTATTTCTCAGAACATAAAATTTTACAATTTCATAAAAAATCGATGTCTTAGGCTGTTCGGGTGAAAGTTGTAAGTTTTGACAGTTAACATAGAAATTCTGACATTTTTCGTAGCGAGTACAAATTTTGATTGCTTGAATGGATTGAATACATGCAATGAAAAGCATAACAAAATAACAATAAATATAACAAATGATATTTGGGCTCCAATCTTACGTTATATACAACATAAACACAAAATAAATTCATAATCACATGGACATTTGTGGCGTTTTGCTCACTTCAAAATTTAATATTTCTTTTAGAAAGCGAAGTTTAAAATATTTTCTCTCCATAGTAAATAAGCAAAATGGCATGCAAAATGACATGCATTGGCATTCAGCCCTCACTTATCAAATAAGTTTCGTTCCAATGTTAAGTCCGGCAACATTTTAACAGGTTAAGTTATGTTATGCTGACATTTATACCCATCTACCTCACATGACACTCATCGCCATTTTGCTTTGGTTACTATAAGAAATACACAAAGAATTTTTGCTGGTATTTTCCACATTTTCTGAGTTTATTGAAAATACGGAGGCCAGCATAGTCGAAGCCAGAACGAGATTCAGAAAATTGTGAACTAGAATGAGCAATGGACGTGTGCGTGCGCGCTGTAGTTCCATCTTCTCATTTTTGTGTAAGTGTAAAAATTAAATACTATATAAAATAATTTCAGTCAACAAAAAAACCTTGCGAATCAAAAAAGAAAATATAAACAATTTCAAAAATATTCAATGTAACAAACTTTTGGTGTGAAAAATGTAATACCAATATATTTAATAAGAATATTTAGCAAGAAAATTGTAGAAATATGTATCTAATTTGTGTATTTAAGTGGAAAATACAAAACTGTGCCGCAACGTATGCGAAGGAAATTTATATGAATGAAAATAAAAGCGTAATTGGGGAAAACGCATCTCTACAATTTTCCTGAATGTGGTATTTTATATCTGAGTTCACATACTTAGCTATACAAACATATAATATATATCAAGGAAAATTTAGATAAAAGAAAAACTAGTGCAAATCGTAACGTGAAAAGTGTGCTGAAAATCTTCAAAAACTATCACAAATACTTTTCTAAGCGATATACATATATCGAGTACTTCCATACATATTTGCACCCACACAAATTAAATTACTGCACACGCTAACGCAAATAAAGATACTCAAAAGATCCATGACTTTGTCGTGTAGCATATCCACAAAGAAACCTATAAATTTTGTGTACGTGGAATTTTTGCTTGGCATCCGTTGTTATAATAATAATAATAAAAAAAATTTCCCAACCCAAATCATATCATACGCAAATTTGAAATAATTAATGCCATTCAAGTTTAAAATCAAATGCATGCGTATGAAATTTTTGATGGGCCAATGTTTCTTTCTAGATTAAATACAAATACAAGTGAATCTTGCACAGGCTCACAAAAGCACGCTACCTCCAGCCTATTGGCAGAACTTCCAACAACGCGTTCGGGCAATGTAGTGAGAGAAAAAATAAGAATTAGAAATTCCAAATAATACAATAAATAAAACTACAAAGCAACATCAAACATATCCATCCGTTTGCAATTCTAATAAAATTTTAGTCGAAACTACATTTTTGTGCGCATATTAAATAAACATACATAAACAAAATTTTTATCACTGAAGCAGCAACGTTTAACAATCTCGCGCACACATAAATTGAATGAATAACTCGCTTCCGCATTTGCAACAAATCGTATAGTATTAACTTTCTGCAAGTATACTCGTATGTAAAGAAAAAATAATCTTACATACTTACGTGTATTTCGATTAATCTTGGCTTCAATATAAAAAACATCACACAAAAGCATTTAATACAGCCGACAACATGGATTGGGTTATACATGATGAGCTCGGAATCACTGTCGGTCATGTGGCTAGTGGCGCCGCAGCATCCGCTATGGTGATTGGCGGTGTCATTCCTTATGTACCGCAATATTTGGAAATCAAGAAAACACAAGATGCGGACGGGTTTTCGCTACACGTTTGCCTAGCGTTATTAATTGCAAATTCCTTGAGGATCTTCTTTTGGTAAGCATAAATAAATAAATTTTTTTAAATTATTACAATATGCATAAACCCTATACTCGAATGTATTTTGATTGGCAAGCATAGAATGTGTTAAAGGTAGGAAAAATACTTGAAACTTTATGAAAACAACCGTTCATAGATCTTGCAAAAAAAGCTGTAGAATTCCACTTTTCTTTATTCCGTATAACTTTTAATCAGCGTAAAGAGATGGTTAAAAATTTTAATTCGCCACCTCATTTTATGGTCACTGATTGATAAGTCTTGATAGCGAGAATTTGTTTTCGAAGTACCTACTGCCTATACAACTGAATTTCTTATCTTTAATGACATATTTTTATTAATTTTTTTTTTATGCACACTTCAGCATTATTAAAGTTTTCCTTAATGCATAGTCAGAGGTTTTAGTGCGTATGTACAAACATACATATGTATGTAAGGAGTTGTATATTTGGAGCGCGCATGACAAGTGAATGTGCACGTGCACATATTGGCTGAAATTCCGATGCTTCCTTTATGCTCTCCACTACTACACGAGTGAGAAGTATTAAGAATGGTCAGGTTTTTATATACATAGTAAATATGGGTACAAACATAACGATTATAATCATGCCGCTTTAGTAATGCCAGTTGTACATACTTAACGAAATAACATTTCTGGTAAAAGCGAAAAATATAATGCAATTAAAGTATTATAATGCCCGAAAAAAAATAATTCTTGCGAATACCTGCGAAAATGTGCGGAAGAACAAGTAGAAGATTTCGTATACAAAGTGAGTTAATACCTTAAATAATAAATATGTATATATTCAAGTATTTCCTTCTATGCGTCCACGATTTAACAGGTATTACTGGTTTATTGCGAATTGTCTACCTTTGGTAAAGAGTGCATTCTCACAAATACGTTCGTGCACTTATGTATGTATACAAATGTATGTCTGTATATTTAAAAAGCCAAAATTCAAGTTTAAATAATAAAAATAAATGAAATGTCTTGAAAATAGTCGTCGAATAGTCGAATAGTCCATGTAGTGCACACATACTTACATATGATTGTATTGGGTTGTAACATAAGTTCGTGTTGTTCTTTTCACATAGATTTATTTGAACAGAAAACAATAATTATAGTAATAAATGAATCAATCCACTTCTCGACCAATTTTTGTATGCCATTTCACCAAAAATCGGCCAGTCTGCTGTGGAAGAAGTTGTTGAGCCAGATTTCAAGGTCCGCTTCCCCATCGAAGGTAACACACCTCATTTGGTAAGGCACATAGCGGAAAAGGTGATATTCGGTAGTTGTAATATCCAGAGAGTACGGTGGATGCTGAAGAACCCCCCCCTTGGGCAACGTGTGGCCTGGCGTTGTTGTGGGCCTTGTCTATTGGGTCTTTTCAGCCGAATAACCTCGTTTACGCGGTTCAGCTAGACAATATTGAGCCCCCTGTTGACAGTGGCGTTTCCTTCGAGCAGATCATGGCCTTTCTTGGGTAAAGATCTTGCTTGACTCTCGGCTTCGGCGCCTCTCTTGGGTCCACCCACTCCATTCTTAGCTTCATATTGACGAACTGACTCCATATCTCATATCCCGTGATTGTTCGATGCAAGGGCCGCTTTTTGTGCCTACGTCTTGCTCAGCAAAAAAGAAGCAGATGCCGAAAAGCTGATTTTTTCCTTCCGGATATTTAATTTCTAAGCCTGAAAAATAATAAACAATTAAATTATCAAAAAAAAAAACTAGTTTTGAAGAGAAGGAAGAGATCTTCGGAATGAATATATACACCTTGCTAAACAACAAAATAAATCGTTGCAAATCTCGACGAACTTATGTTACAACCCAATAAATGCTACCGCTCGCCAGAAAACGTCTTCGTTCACTTCACCTCACTTCATTCTATTCGCACTCCAAAAACACCTCAAATTAAACCGAAAAATCCTGATTTTCTCTTAAGTGTAATTAAAAATGCAAAATAATTATACGGGTTTCCAATAAGAGATTATATCTTGAATAGACTGCTATTTCGTTAGATGTCACTTTTAAAACTGTACTTTTTTGACACTTACAAGTAAAAACTACGCTTGAATAACGATTTGACATTATGAACATTCACATTAAAATTACGTCAAAAAATTATCTTGACTGATGAGGCTCATTTCAACCACGTTGGCTACGTCAATTAGACAACTTACAAAGCAATCGGCTGGCCGGTCGTAAACTATTTTGCACCGATCTGGGAGACGGGGACGAATGAGACGCAGACGAAGAAGCTACAGGCTTGCCAAAACACCGTCCTTATGACCGCGACAGGAAACCTCCTGATGTCGCCGGAGCGAGTTAAGAAGCATAATGCATTGATGTGTAAGCGACTACTATTGGGATGCTACCGTAGGGAACACCCCAATAGAAGCTGAACGTCCACCTAGGCACTTCAGAAAGGGAATACTTGACATGAAGGACACCATCCCGCAATATGTGCAACAGCCGCGTTCACCAGGTGTCAGTCAACACTTTCAAAGACTCCCTTCGGCGTGCTCGGAGATAAAGCATCACCCATTGCAGGCAATGAGCACAACTACTACACTGGATACTGTAGCAGGGTAAACTGTTACCTATCCAGACTCGACCCCAGCACACCCAACGGATGCGTCCAAACAGCTGACCCCCCATTAGATGACTTCGGCGACTTAGATTGATCAAACCTGTTCCTAAGGTGGACAAATGAACCGCTACAACAATAACAACAAAAGAAAAGCTCCTTTGAAGAGCAAAATAAGATATCCACCACTTTATGAAGTCTAGGACACGGTATTTCAATGATTCAATGATTCTAATAATTTCGATTACTTCCCAGAAGTATTCTGTGGGATTACAGCTACGAGATTATGTTGGCGAATTTTAAGATTGTATGGAATGATGTGAAGAAACCAGGGATTAAAGATCTATGTCTTGTGTTTCGAGTCCAAGTTTATCTCCTGCTATTTAATATTTAATTACATATATTCACTTGTGGAACGTTAAAATCTATAAACTTCATATTGCGTGCGCTCCAACTTGCACCTGAACTGAACCACCATGTTTAACAGTAAGTACCAACCTTTGCCTGTCTAGTGCCGTTCCATCTTTTTATCTTACATAACCAGATATCAAAATAGCGAATCATGTTTCTTCGGCTTATTAAAGTAGCGGTCTTTTTAGAAACGGTCAACTTCAGCCAATTATCTCTCGAAATCACTTGAATCTCGTATTGGCATACATATGTACGAGTATGTAGCTACCTATACTGTGATAGTTGTTTATACTCCTGAAATTAACCTCCAGTCTCCTCTGATATCTTCTGTAAAATCACTTCTTTCATTATTTTCTTAATTAATTAAGTTCATTCATTTTATGACTTAATTAAATTTATTCATTTAGCTTTGTTTAATTTTATACATATATGAGTATGGACATAAATACTTACTTACATACATACATACATACAGACATGTTCATATGAATCACCATTATTCACAATTTAATCTAATAACGAATGAATGTTATCAAACCGTTTATAGCCATTTTATTTGATTTATGTACGTATATCAGACACTGAACTGTTAACGGTTTATATTAATATCTCTGCGATCCCATGATAAATGTTTTAAGGCTGTCATATTTCGTTTTCTTTTTTTATTAAATCTTTTTTATATCTTTTAAGAAATATTAATAAAACACTTATTTATATCGTAAATATGTATGTAAGTAATAATATAAAAAAATAATTTCATGAACATTAAAAGTTCACAGTAAATTAAAATCGTCTTCTTTGCCTTTTTCTAAGTATTTTCATATATCTGGCTTCTAATTAATTTGTATTCCAGGAACGCAATATTTATTGCATACTTTTTAATGTAGAAAATGTATTCATTACAGTCAATTCCAAGATTTTTAGAGATTTTTCTCTCATTCTCTCATATTCACAGACATATTTTACCGATTCTACCAAAACTTTCTAAGAAAAGTTATTTGGAATACTACTGTTTTTGTTGTAATAACCGCAAAAATATTCCTTAACTTAGTTTTCGCAGAATATTGCGGAAGTGACAGAACTTGGAGGATAAAAAATCCGGGTCGGTCCGGTATAAAGACTTGATTATCGCGGGAACTATTGGATATTAGTCGCCTCTGACGATAGGCATGCCTTAGCGCGGTTAGGAATATATTTGGTATACTACGCATCGTTGTTGTTATAATAGCTTTTCAGAAAATGCCCTTTTAAAATTTGTTATTTTACGCACCTCAACTTATATGTATGTATGTACTAACGCTGTATAGCAAAGAAGTGGAAATGAAATTTTTTGGATTTTTAGATTCCAAATACAAATTTTCAGTTTTTCACCAGCAGTTTTTTTATTTTTTTTTTTTTTTTTTGTGGAAGTCGCTTGCTGTATAACTTTTTTTTCTTAACAATTGAATTGAAAGCACTTTTTCAACGAACTTCATGAAATTATGTACATACATACATACATACATACATATGTATGTCCACGTATGCGAAAAATAATTGCCATAATAATTAAAAGCTCCGAAAGCACACAAAAACGTGCGAAACGTACACAAAATATTTATTTTCTCGCCTTAATGTATCCGTAGACAGATAAACACGGTGGGGGAAGAATTTCTTTCACTTTGTTCGTCTAACATATACAGATGAAGAGCGCTTATTCAGTAGTTATTTCTCACTACAATTTTCATATATTTAAAAAAAAAATTTCTAGTTTTTTCTTATTATAAACATTTTATTTGTTTGAAAATAACAAAAAAAATCTATTGCATTTATGTATATAACATTTTATTTATCAGATAATTATTGATTAGATTGTATACATTATGTATGTATGTATGTAAGTATATATGTTTGTCAAGACTGCTCGAAACTCGATGAAAAAGTGGGCTGTGGAATCCAGTCTCAAATAAATGAGCAGACCACTACAGCGTCGTCCAAGCAGAACTTTTTGCAATC